TGGAGAGTTTTACTGCTTACGGTGGGAGCAGGTGTCAGCGACACCAGGAGACGCAGCGCGCCGGCGTGCCGAATGACCCACCCGCGGTGTGAGGTCTGGCAAGTATGGTCTGCGTTTATACAAAACGAGCATCGTACGTGCAACTCATGATGCGCTTAAGCAATATGAAATCCCGCCGGTAAGCTGATTAATTCAAAATGTGATGAAGGTGACTTTTATCGTACGGAGGCAGTTCTTATAATTCCCTTATTATGTCGGCAAAACTGTTATTGCCAAAGTGAATACAAACACAGCACATAGAAGGATGGAATGCTAATCCACCAGCATATACACGCGTCCTCATTAAATTGGCTTTAGTGTGTGTATGTGTGTCTGTGTGGATTAGGGTTACTAGGGTTGTGGGAGACCAAATGTCCCCCACAATGAGATAAAAACTTGTTATTTGGATGTCATGGTGACCATTTTTCAGGTCCCCAGAAAGATCAAACTCAAAAAAAGTAAAAATATCAAAAGTCTCATATTTTGTTTGGTTACTTATGGTTAAGGTTAGGGCTGGGTAGGGGTTAAGGTTGTCATGTTGGGATTAGAGTGTGTACGAGCGGGTGTGTGTGTGTGCGAGCGGATGTGTGTGTGTGTGTGTGTGTGTGTGCCCTACAATGCACTGGCCACCCTGTACAGAATCTATCCCAGCCTTGTGTTCTATGCTGCCTAGGATAGTTTCAAGCCCCTCTGTGACCCAGATCAAGATAAGCAGTTAGTGGATGGATGGATGGATGGATAAATAGATAAATAAATAAAGTTTTCATTGTGATATCAGAAAATGTTTATGCATGCCACCTTGCTGTCATTAATAGAAGCCTCCTTGGTAACACTTTACATGACAGGGCACAAATATAGTATTATGCTATTACTTATGTATTAATTAACCACAAACTAAGTCTTAGTTACATACTGATCTCATGTTAATTCATCATTAATGAATTGTGATGCATCCTTTATCTAAAGCGGTTACTATATTACTATGTTAATTCTGTAAACTTTTGTGAACTACTGAAGGAACTACTGAGCAAATAATAATGAACAACACAAGTGAAATACTGATCTCATATTTGTCTCAAGTATCGTCTATATTTGTTCATGATTTGTGCTTCAGTAGCACTAAGTATTTGTGCCCCATTAAGTAAAGTGTTACTGCCACTCCTTCACGTTAAACATTTCTTTACTAGCTGCAAGATTCTCACGGCAGCCATGCATACTGTAGCTGTTCCTGTCTACGGTTGTTTCGAAACAGTAGAGAAAAGATACACAATGTTTGTGTTGAAGATCCGTTGCAAGACGTGGCACTCAGCTGACTTTGACGGTGGGCGAGGACGCAGCCGTGCTGGCAGGCCACAGAGGAGGCATAACTTCAGGAACGGAGAAGGAGCAGCGGTCCAGCCAGCATGCGAGCAGCTGCCGCAGTGAGGCCTGCTGGTGCATTAACACGCTTTTAATGCAACACACCCAATCTGTTTAAGATACATAGTAATGAGTCAGGCTGCAGTCAGGCCCACTCAGATTCCTTAGTTAGCACATTAAAGCCCGTATAGACTTAGGACAATGGTGTGCGTGAGTCATCTCCCTCAGCTTTCATCCTACAGGCTGGGAAAAAGCAGCCTAAGATAAAAAGCAGGTTAGTACTCTGGACTAACATCTGCCGCCTTAGTGTGTCCTGCGATAATCGTTTCAGAAATTGGATGGATGGATGGATGGGCCTGTCTCCTTTGTACTGGACGTACGCGTATGAACCCTGTTAAGTCACATCAGGAAGATCTCCTGATGGTGCCCCGGGTGAGATAAGTCTCCTTCAGCTTCTCGGATGTAAGATATCTTCGCTCCTTCAATGTGCTGCCCTTTGCCGGTGACCTTGCCAGTGAGAGTACATGTGCATGTAATATACCAAGGATGTATTAGTGAGCATGGACACTTTGTTACTGCACAGAAACGGTTACCTCTGAAACCATCCACTGTTTTCAATTTCAGAATCATAATGAAATGAACAAACCTCAGGTTTTTATGTCAGTCTGGACATAATGGGAGGTAAGAAATGTGGCCATTTGTTTAAGTACGCACTGTTGCATACGGAATGAAATCATTCCTCGGTTTATGGAAATGGAGGTTCAGGCATTTATTTAACACAATGAAGTGTTGTAATAAAAGGTAATTTGAGAAGCGGGGACATTCTGGCAAAGTGTGAGGACTGATAGATGGTTTATGAACAACCAAGCTGTCACGGGAGTGCAATGAGCGGGTGCGGTCGCGTGCTAGGTGTGCGGGGCGGGTGTGGTCGCGTGCTAGGTGTGCGGAGCAGGTGCGGTCGTGTGCTAGGTGTGCGGGGCGGGTGTGGTCACGTGCTAGGTGTGCGGGGTGGGTGTGGTCGCATGCTAGGTGTGCGGAGCGGGTGTGGTCGCGTGCTAGGTGTGCGGAGCGGGTGTGGTAGCGTGCTAGGTGTGCGGAGCGGGTGTGGTCGCGTGCTAGGTGTGCGGAACGGGTGTAGTCGTGTGTTAGGTGTGCGGAGCGGGTGTGCAGAGTGGGTGTGGTCGCGTGCTAGGTGTGCGGAGCGGGTGTGGTCGCGTGCGAGGTGTGCGGGGCGGGTGTGGTCGCGTGCTAGGTGTGCGGGGCGGGTGTGGTCGCGTGCTAGGTGTGCGGGGCGGGTGTGGTCGCATGCTAGGTGTGCGGAGCGGGTGTGGTCGCATGCTAGGTGTGTGGGCATCTGCCCCCAGCTCCGTGCGTGTGAGCCTGTGAGGTTCGTGTGTCTAGCTTCCTCCTGAGTACACTGGGTCTCTCCCACTTTAAAAAGATCTGCTTTCCATGTTTCACATCTTGGCGAAGATGCATTAAATCTATATTATTAAAATGCTATATTGTGTGGCCATATGGGTGCAAAGCTGTGCTCCATATGGTTAACTTTGCTGTCCAAACCCTTCGGCCCGTAACTCCCCGTGAGAAAGGGGGAGGATGTGAAAGCAACAAACTGCTTAATTCACCCAAAATAAAAGTCTTTCCTGTTTCGCTCTCAACCATAACTTGTACAGCCATCGTGGTCACGCTTAAAGTAGAAGCCATCTTGGTCTCCCAGCCTGGTTTGTCCCTTTTCCACCCTGTTCATGAATTCTGACCAAAGGCACTCTTACACTTGAACTCTCAGTAAGATTGTATTCTAGAAAAACTATAATTACCAATGACAAACCAATTATGTCACAATCTGGTCCTCAATACAAGGAGGAGTGTGTATCCATGCTGTTCGCGATGCAAAATGAAGAAAGATGTAATATATCAGTCATCCCAGACAAAGGGCTGAGTCCTCAAGCAGAACCTCTTTACTCCCAGGATGCATTTCACCTCTCTTAATGGACAATCAGTTCCTTAAACCCCTCCCCCCCATCTTGGATGCCATAGGAAATGCTGGAAAGCACAGATGTCCTCACATTGGACGGCACAGAAGGGAGCGCTTCCGAGATGCTGGAACAGCGCCTCCCCATGGATATATGGTGCATGTTGTAGCGGTTGCTGCTGCTTCCTGGCGAGCAGATGTCTGAAGGACGTCTTGCTGCCCTCATACAGCTTCATCTGTCTGCTCCAGTCAGGATGGGGATGCTGTCTGCAGGCTGCATGTAACGTCATCAGATATGCGAGAGCATCCTGCGGCTGCTGTCTGTCATTTTTTGTTGATTTCTGATTGCGATGCAGTGGCCATGCTGGGTAGCATCACTCCATTAATAAATCTTGCCTCTTGAGGGGTGTTGGTCTGTACCCTTGTCCCCTGTGCCAGTCTCCAAACTGAATGCCACACAGGATTCAGCTGCCAGCATCTCTGTGCCAGTCTCCAAGCTAAATGCCAGCCAGGATTAAGCTGCCAGTCCTTCTGTGCCAGTCTCTGAGCTGAATGCCAGCCAGGATAAAGCTGCCAGTCCCTCTGTGCCAGTCTCAGAGCTGAATGCCAGCCAAGATTAAGCTGCCAGTCCCTCTGTGCCAGTCTCCGAGCTGAATGCCAGCCAGGATTAAGATACCAGTCCCTCTGTGCTAGTCTCCGAGCTGATTGCCAGCCAGGATTAAGCTGCCAGTCCTTCTGTGCCAGTCTCCGAGCTGAATGCCAGCCAGGATTAAGTTGCTAGTCCCTCTGTGCCAGTCTCCGAGCTGAATGCCAGCCAGGATTATGATGCCAGTCCTTCTGTGCCAGTCTCCAAACTGAATGCCAGCCAGGATTAAGCTGCCAGTCCTTCTGTGCCAGTCTCCAAACTGAATGCCAGCCAGGATTAAGCTGCCAGTCCCTCTGTGCCAGTCTCTAAACTGAATGCCAGCCAGGATTAAGATGCCAGTCCCTCTGTGCCAGTCTCTGAGCTGAATGCCAGCCAGGATTAAGATGCCAGGCCCTCTGTGTGAGTCTCCAAGCTGAATACAGACCAGGATTAAGCTCCAAGCTGGCCTCAGTGTGCTGGGGTGGGTAGTGTTGGGGGGGGGGGGTCACCGAAAGGGGGGCAATCAGCATCATGCAGGCCATTAGTAACCTGGGCTTCTTCACTGCTGGCCTCAGGAAGTGTCAGTGTGACTCTTCTGGCCTGGCAGGCTATGATTGCCCCTCCCAGGGGGTGGGACAGTCTGTTCTTGCTAGACTTAAAGTCCATGCTGGGAAGAAGCCATGGAGAAGGATCAGGGCAGCTGGCTGCTGCTTCCTGCAGGTGGACGCCTGTCCTGGAGTGACTGCCGCCTCTGGCCTGCTAGGGGAATTCCTGAGGACGGCTGCCTTGTAATCGACGCCATTTGGTGTCGCTTTCCCTTATTCCCTTAATAAATCTCTTAGTCTCCAGAGTCCCCTTTCCCGTAACATGACATGGGTGATTTTTCCTTGTTTCGTACTGAATGATGCTTGTTATCCCTTAGCTTCGTTTTTTCTAGTCCTGTACGCTCTGCCCCTTATGCATTCAGCACTGACTCTTCCCTCGTCCTGCGTCTGTCTACAGATGAGACTGTAAAGCCTGGCTACCACAGAGGCTTCCGCTGCGGTCTGGGCAGCGCATCCGCATGATCTCATGACCCTGGATATGGACGCTGTCCTGTCGGACTTTGTTCGGTCCACAGGAGCAGAACCGGGCCTGGCCAGAGACCTGCTGGAAGGTAGGAGCAGACCCCTGGGGTTCCTGTGGTTGGCGGTGTGGGTCGGGCCTGACTATCGCTCGGTTGCGGGCGGCAGGACGTGTTGTGAGTCGCTGATCGCGGAGCTGAGTTTGATCAATGCCGTAGCTCAGTGTCAGCGGTGGGTCGTCTCACGCGCTTGCAGGCACTTCAGCTACGTCACCACTCTTTTCTACGTCACCACTCTCTTCAACATCACCACTCTCTTCTACGTCACCACTCTTTTCTACGTCACCACTCTCTTCTACATCACCACTCTCTTCTACATCACCACTCTCTTCTACGTCACCACTCTTCTACGTCACCTCTCTCTTCTACGTCACCACTCTCTTCTACATCACCACTCTTCTACATCACCACTCTCTTCTACATCACCACTCTCTTCTACATCACCACTCTCTTCTACGTCACCACTCTCTTCTACGTCACCACTCTCTTCTGCGTCACCACTCTTCTGCATCACCACTCTTCTGCGTCACCACTCTCTTCTACATCACCACTCTCTTCTGCATCACCACTCTCTTCTACATCACCACTCTTCTGCATCACCATTCTCTTCTACGTCACCACTCTTCTGCATCACCACTCTCTTCTACATCACCACTCTTCTGCATCACCACTCTCTTCTACGTCACCACTCTTCTACATCACCACTCTCTTCTACATCACCACTCTTCTGCATCACCACTCTCTTCTACATCACCACTCTCTTCTGCATCACCACTCTCTTCTACATCACCACTCTTCTGCGTCACCACTCTCTTCTACATCACTACTCTCTTCTACGTCACCACTCTTCTACATTATTTGGGGCACAAATAATTAGTAATTACTCAGTTACTACTGAAGTACAAATCATGAATAAGTTAAGTTGCAGCTTGACAAAAGATGGATCACGATTCATTGATGATCAACAAACATGAGATCAGTATTTCACTTCTGTTATTCATTACTTGTTCCTTCAGTAGTTCACAACAGGTTACAGAAATAGTAACAAATATAGTAACTGCTTGAGATAAAACGTGTCACTGTTCATTAATAATGGATTAAAATGAGATCAGTATTAACTAAGACTTTTGTTTGTGATTAATTAATACATAAATAATAGTATAATACTATAATACTATAATACATAATAAAGTATTACCAGATTAAATACGATACATATTCAACGTGGAGTAACAAGTTGAGTAAGATTCTGTGTAATCTGTACATCTATAAGGAAAAAGTGAGAAACAGACTGTTCTAGAAATTGCCAATGTACAGTAATCGCTTTTTCTGTGGCAGGATCAATGATGAAGTTTCTGTAGCGTTTTGGCTAACATTTGCATTTTTGGTTTACCGTGGTCAGCCCTAGATACCATAATGATACAGGACATAGACTTTGGGGTGAAAGATTGTACATTTCTCTAAGGAAGAGAGGGAGATTTACACAAGGAATTTCACCTAAAGAGAATCAAGGAAAATGGATCTATGTAGGAATGTAAAATAGTAAGAGCCTTAGGTTCTTTAAAGTAAAAGCCATCCATCGATCTGCTTACCTTCGACTGGGTCATGGGGAGGGGGGGCACGGGGGGATGGTGGGGGTAGGACTGAAACCAATCCCATGTGGCACAGAGCATAAGGCTTGGGTACAGCCTGGATGAGATGCCAATCATCACATCAGGTAGCCGAGCTGCATGCAGGATGAAACACAAATGAGACACGGAGAAAAAATGAACTGCACACACTTAGAGATGAAGTAGGACTTGAACCCTCATAATAAATGTGTGATAAATGTTATATTTGATATTTTTCTCCATTTCATTGCTGGTACATGACTGATGAGAACTGCTGCCCCCTAGGGATGTTGAGAGAAAATGACATTCTGCCTTTTTGACGCTGCATAGTGCTGCATTGATTCACAGCTATGGGAAATCATTTTCAAGTTTGCCAAAGCTCTGCAGCTGCTGCAGGGGATGCGTGGGAATGTGACGACAGAGTCGCACAGCAAGTTTTTTTTTATGTATAAGTAATTAGTGTCGTTTTCTTTTGTAGTGAAAAGTATTAATAATTATCCATACAGTCATGGAATATTGTCTCCATGTTGTCTTTAAAGCCGAAATCCAATCGTTTTGTTTAAGATCACAGCAGTTCCCTTTGTGCCCTGTTACTTGGTGTGTTTCCAACAATATGGCCTTTCGAATATAATGTCAGTCGTGTGCTTTAACCTGCAGTGACGTGATTTAGTTATTATCCCTCCCAAATTTTGAGATAAACCTTCTAATTATATACAGCCGGCTCCTGGTAACAGCAAAACGGGTAAAGGGAAGGAAATGTGTCAGAAGTCACTGAGATGCAGGATGTTCGCAGCTCGGGACAGCCAATCAGCCGGCTTGCTGCAGCCCACAGCGCTGTGCTGGAATGATGTCATCCCGCTGCTCAGCTGGGGGTATGAACAGCGCGGTGAGGCTTCCAGCTGTAAGATGATTATCTGGAGTGCTGGTCACAGGAACTTCTAAGCTGTCACTCCGTTTATCAGTCCATTAATCCATCCATCCCTCTGCCAAGTGTCTGTACTGCTTAGTGTTACCTGGAGGACTGGAAATCAGTCCAGGGACGTCTAAAATATCCAGAACTGATAAATTACCTTTTTTTGTTTTGTTCTGATGTAGATTATGCTTTTAATTAGCACGAGTCTGCAGCGTTTTAAAGACAGGACATTTTGTTTTGTTCACAACATACATGTTATACCTCTGTAATCTATCCATCCATCCATCCATCCATCCATATATCAGTTTTCCGTACCTGCTTATCCTATTTATGGTTGCGGGGTCCAGAGCTGATCGCGGAAGCTATGGGCACAAGACAGGGAACAACCCAGGATGGGGTACCAACCCATCGCAGGGCACACTCACACACCAGTCACTCACACACTACTCACTCACACACCACTCACTCACACACTACTCACTCACACACCAGTCACTCACACACCACTCAGTCACACACGCAAACCTTTGGGCAGTATGGTAACTCCAATTAACCTCAGTATGTTTTTGGACTGTGGGGCGAAACTGGAGTACCTCTGTAATCGTGTTTTTAAAATACTACGTATTTAAATTGAAGCACTAGCTCTTAATAGCGGTCATTAATGGGCAGCATCATGGGGCAGTGGCTGCCTCAGCTGCCTCGGCTGCCTCAGCTGCCTCGCACCTTCAGCATTAGGGGCTCGGCTGCGGTCTGTGCTGTGTGGTTCCCCTGGGAACTCCATTCCTCCCACAGACATGCGGTTCTGCTAGCTGGTGTCTCTGAAATGCTGTACAGCAGTGCTTCCCAACCCAGTCCTCAGTATCCCACAGACGGTCCAGTAACACATTTCTTAACGGGATACAGATATAGTAAAAACTCAGTTACTACTGAAGTACAGATCATGAACAAATATAGTCAGTGTGTCATGATTCATTAATGATAAACAATCATGACATTAGTATTTCACTTATGATATTAATTACTTGTTCCTTCAGTAGTTCCTTAGTACTTCCTTCAGTAGTTCACAAAGGCTTCTTCCCCTCCTGCACTGACATCCCACCCAGGGTGGACCCCAGCCCTGTGCCCTAACCTGCCTGAGAAGGGCTCCATCCTCCCTGAAACCTTGTCCAGGCTGATCAGTTATGAGATGGATGGACAGCAATAATTTAGCTGAAATCCTCTAAATCAGGGAAGACGTACTGTACTGCCTCAAGTGGAGGAGTTTAAGTATCTCGGGGTCTTGTTCTCGAGTGAGGGTAGGCGAGATCGGGAGCTGGACAGACGGATCGGAGCGGCGTCTACAGTTTTGCAGGCGCTTAACTGGTCCGTCGTGGCTAAGAAAGAACTGAGCCAAAAGGCAAAGCTCTCGATCTATTGGTCCATCTTCGTCCCGACCCTCACCTATGGTCATGAGCTATGGGTAATGACCGAAAGAATGAGATCGCGAATACAGGCGGCCGAAATGAGGTTTCTCCGCAGGGTGTCTGGGCTCTCCCTTAGGGATAGGGTGAGAAGTTCGGATATCCGGGAGGGCCTCAGAGTAGAACCGCTGCTTCTTCACGTCGAAAGGAGCCAGTTGAGGTGGTTTGGACATCTGGTGCGGATGCCTCCTGGGCGGCTACCCGGAGAGGTTTTCCATGCATGTCCTACAGGGAGGAGGCCCCGGGGCAGGCCCAGGACTCGCTGGAGGGATTATATCTCTCGGCTGGCCTGGGAACGCCTCGGTGTCCCCCCCGAGGAGCTGGTGGAGGTAGCTGGGGAGAGGGAGGTCTGGGTGTCTCTCCTGAAGCTGCTACCCCCGCGACCCGAACCCCGGACAAGTGACAGATGATGGATGGATGGATGGATGGATGGATGGATGGATGGAAATCCTCTAAATACTTTGCTTTATCATATTAATGACAATGTTTTAACAATTTACATGAGCTAATTTAATACAAAGCAGGTTGTTTCAGTTCCAGATATTAGTATCACAAACCAGATTTTCAGTCTAATAGCCAAACTTTAAGTGTCCAATGGTAACTTTACATTATAATAATTACTGTATTGTTGAGTATACAGTGTCTTATCTCAGTAATTTTCACTCTGATCACTGCTGCAATACAAACAAGATAATTGGACTTTGACAACAATACAGGCAGTTGAATGGGCACCCATTCAGAGCCTAAGTGAAAGACAGGTGTTAAAGTATCAGTCATACTTCCTAGCTAATCAGGAGGATAGCCATGAATGGTCGGTGGAGTAGACAGTCGCTGCGGTTCGCAATCGAATTAATCAGACAGGTTGCTGCTGCCAAAATTTGACCAAGACACTGACAGGTTTTTTTTTTACTGCTCTACCTTTCAGCGTAATTGGCTCATTAGCATCAGGACGGCTACACTCTTTCTTGGAATATCTGCCCTTGTCACAGTTGTGGTGTTAAGCTGGTAAACTGGGGTACAGTGGAGTACATACAGTGGTTCTGCTATCAGTGAAGATGAGAACAGGATGAGTCGCTATCGGAGTTTCTGTCCATTTTCATATGAGCAGCATCAGCACTGTGTTGTGCTAATTGGGCTAATAAGTGAATATCACGGTAATAACATACACTGCATGTACACGTTTTTAAAAAGCGTTAAAGTTAACCTGGTTAGGTGGAGTGGTATTGTAAGGCTATTTGGAGTTTCCCTTCAGTCGTAGCTTAAAGTCAGTAAAGTTAGATGAAATTTCATGCAGTATGAAAATAATTAAGACTGTGTGCTTTCATATATCCTAAAATACAGAAGCAGAGAACAGTTATTAGCTGGCACTAACAGTGAGTGAATCAAACCTAACCGAGTGTGAAATTAAAGGGAACCTGTCAGTGAAATGCATTCAACACGCCTTCAGGAACTCAGGGCTGAAATTCGCTTCGAGATGCGAGTCTTGAGCTCTGTCTCACTGAACAGGAGGGACTCTGCGGGCCTGACTCAGGGGAGGCTCTGCCTCAGATGGGTCACTAAAGGACTGTGGGGAGCACGTTCATGTGCCGATGTCCTGTAGGTATGATGTCACACTCCGCTTGGCAGCCTGAGACCAGCAACAAGGGAAGCCAGTGAGGGAGGCTGGATGGTGTTCGGATATTTCGGGCCGTGTGTGCAGTGGGCTGGTGATGTAGGATGGAAAGGCCTCACGGCCGGCTGGGCTAGACAAGGAGATAAAGAGAGTCGGGGAATATGGGCCAGTCCTTCTGATGTCACGGGGTAGGAAATTTAGGGGCTGGAGAGGACGAGGTTCGTGTAGGCCGCGGTTGAGAGTCATGCCGGGTATGTGGTGACGTCACAGCGATGAGGGAGCCAGGTGCAGGCTGGAATATGGACTAGCTCAGCCTTGGAAGTAGCTATAGGTGATAGTCAGAAGGAGCATAAATGTCGGGGAGGAGAGGAAGGCAGCAGTTTTGTGTCATTATGAGAGGGTGGATGTTTTGTTTTTGATTTATTTTTCATCCATCCGTCCATGTTCCATTTCGTGTTTGCAGTACAGAGTCATGCTAAACCATGACGTCACACTGACTATCCTGCCAGCCCCGTCACACATACTGAGGCATCTCTATTAAGGATTCCTTTTACCAAAAGCACTTCTAATTTACTTCTAATTTCCATATTATATTATCCCTGCAAATGTTAAAATGTATATGTGAAATATGACTGCAAATCTTTATGCAGTCCTGTCAGTAGTAATGTATTCCAGTACTAGTGTGTCTGGGTTAGAGTCCATAGGCTGATTCCTTCTATAAATGTGGGTTGTGGAAACCACTGCCATCTAGTGTTGATACAAAGCATTACCATACGATCTTTAACCAGCATCCACCTACCTTTTATCCAGTGCAGGGGGGCCTGGAGCCTGTCCCAGGCAGCATAAGGTACATGACATGGGTACACCTGGCATAGGGTTATTATAGAGCACAAACACTCACAATCGCAGAATATGGGCAATTTAGAGACACCAATGCAATAACAGCACATTTTTGGATAGTAGGGAAGTTGAAGTGTCCAGATGGAATGTGTATAACATCGGGTGAGCATGCAGAGTCCACAGATATGGAAAGGGAGTGGGATTCAAACCCCAGCTCTAGAGCTATGAGCCAACAATGTTACCAATTGAGCTGTATGTCTTATACCGTAACTTTGTTCAAAATGGTCAATCAAAATACAACTGCAGAGGCAATGTGAAACCAAGCAATCAGTTATAAGAACTATACTACTCACATTTCCAAGAATGTTGTTTATTTATCTTTGGTTGACGAACAATACTTTTGTCATTTGTATCAAGCAATATTAATATTCATATTGAAAACAAATTTTACCCAAAGGCATGATTTTGTTTCGCCCAATTAAAGAATCTAACCTAAGATATTATTATAATCATTTTTTTTCTCCTGTTTCCTTTGTTATTATCTTGATTAGTCTATAAACCCTCGCATTGGCCGCGTCGCTGACTGTGTGATTTATGATTTGAGCTGCGGGAGCCGTGGGACGGGAGATGGGAGGGGGGCAGAGGAGGAATGAGAACACGCTGCAGGAAGGAGACAGAAAAAAGGAGAAAGAAATAAAGAACGGACTCATATGCCTGTAACATAGGGCTAATGATTGCTCACGTTAACATTTAATATAAATTAGCTGCAAATCTAATTTGACTGGATACTGATTTGTTTTTATGCCTGACTGTGGACTGAGCTATTGAACTCATACAACCAATTATTGTTACGGTAGGGCATGAAGAAGGAAAGGAGGGACAATACACAAAGCAGCTCACAACAAAAATGGGGTTTATTAACAAAACGGGACACAAAAGAGGAAAACCAGAAATAAAGGGAACACGTGGAAAAATAATGATAACTAAACAAATAAAAAGGAAAAATAATGATAACTAAAAGTAACCACAAAGTAACATAACTAGGGGAACAGAGCAAAACAGGGAGGAAGACTAGAAAACAACCGCAGCTACAAACACACAGTAACATCTTACACATCTTAAACTTATGGTAATTTCTACTTGTGGTAGCAAGCAACAGGACAGTGGAGGGAACAGGATGGCCAGTGACACCTGCTGGCTAAATGGGGACATGACACATATGGCAGGACCAGATAGGCACAGATCCTGACAATGATAATGTAGAGATAAGAAGTGAAAAATATAAGCCCTACGTAACATACAGTATTAGATCCTATGTGCGGTGCAGGTCAGGTGACCCCCCACCGGGGGGTGCTGGTGATTCACGCACTTCCTTCAGATGCCTCCTGGCAATAGGGAAACTCAGGTGGGCTCACACACGGCACTCTGATGGAATGAGTCGCTGCATCATATTGCTGCCTGAATTTCAAGGGTTTTATTGAATTGGTAACTTTCTGCTCAAGCTTAAGCAAAGGTGGCAATACCGGGCGGAGGAGCCGGTGTAAATGGGGCTGGAACTTTTTGGCTTGTGCTGAACATTGAGTAATATCCATTCAGCTAATTACACCCTCACTGGATAACGGTTTTATGAATTTGCCAACATGCTGCAGTACTGCTGCATCTGTATAATGATACAGCTCCTTTCTCTTAGCCTTAGCTGACAAGCATCCGTGGGTGTGAGTAGATGGGTGAGGAGCTGTCGATTCCCCCCGTGCCAGCGGTGAAACTTGCCCAGGGCACCACGTGTGCAATCGCCACTGCATTGATGCGCTAAACATCGCCAACCCTTGGGGCAGCCTGACGACATACTGTATTGTGCACGGTTAATGTTAATTGAATGAAATTGCAGCCTGTAAACTTACAATGCCAAGGGATCCATAATGTCAAACCACAGTACAGATATTCAGATTAATTAGTCAACAATTGATTTACTCGGTTGCCTAGAAACTATTAACTAAGCAGTTAAACAGTGGATCGTAATTACATTTACCACAATCGTAAATTAACAGCGCAAAGTTAATAAAATATTTTTCTTTTGGCTTTATTATCTGTGCATTGATCGATGGGTGCTGGTTGTTATTAATAACAGACAGTATTTTTCTGGCATTGAAAAATTCAGCCTTTCAAAATCCCAGCTGCTCACATACTGTTTTTGGTTTTTAATGAACAAGCTGTACGAGTCCTGCTGTTCTTGGATTTTCCATCCAGCGTCCATAAGCTTGTCACATCACTCTGGATTAGAGCTTTTCTACAAGACCTGAAATGGGTACTTACACGCGATGGGGTAAAATCTGGGTTACATTCTGTTAGGATCGAGAAGCACCTGTTACTAGGGGACTGTTCGCCCTGCCATGGCCATACGTACAGTATTATCCACTGAAACAACCACAATGAAAAGTGTCATTTTCAATTTCTTCCTTATAAACATCCATCCCTCTTCCAGACTGATCAGGGTCACAGAAGGACTGGTGTCTAACCCAGACGCCACAAGGCTGGGGTGAAATCCAAACAGAATTCCAGTCCATCACAGGGCACACACAAGGAATCTCATGACACCGGATAACTTAATGGCATGTCTGTGGAAGAGACCCAAACGGCACGGGGATAACATGCCAGCTCCACATGAACAAACTAAAAATTATTAGTTCAAAAGATAACCAATCAGATTGTAGAAGTGGTGGGTCCAAACAATTGGAGGAGGTTGGGCCAAGACATCTGATTGGTTGGTCCCACTTCCTGTAGTTGCTTGGACCCACCAACTATACAATTTCTTTCAATTTCTACATTTTTCGTTCGTTCTGCCCTCAGAACATTTTTATGTAAGTAAAACTCCCATGAACAAAGAATCAGTTTGTTTTAGCAGGTCCACTGACATCAAAAGTCAATCTACCAGCAAATGTTTTTTTTCCCATGATTGAGATTTGATATGATTTTCAATTACTGTTCTTTTTCAATTGTAGAAATACAGAAGATGGATTCTCCTTCTTTATTAATGTGATCAGTGGCAGTTTTCTGTATGTACTGAACGACTGGTACAGGAGGTCGATCGGTTGTTGGTGCTGTGAGGTTTATTGTCAATAGTAACTGGGTTTTAAGCATGTAGTAACTGGTGTTACGTTAAATGTAACATTGACACCTGTTTGTGTTTAGGTTATAATGTTATAATAATATATATGAATCTGGGATGTGACTGGGTTCAGGTAAAAACTAGGACTTGATTATGTCCGGGTAAAAACTAGTCTTTACCCTGTCTGTACCCTGGTAAAAAACCTGGATGTGTCTATCTCCAGTTAAAAACTGTGACTCACGTCCCACCCTTCAAAAAATGGGACTAAAAAGATAGGATCTAGGACATGTTCAGGTAAAAATTGTGATTTTTCTGTGTCCAAGTAAAGTTGAGGATTTTTCTGTGTTCAGGTAAAAATGGTGATTTTTCTGTGTCCGGGTAAAAACAGGGATTTTTCTGTGTCCAGGTAAAGATGGGAATTTTTCTGTGTCTATGTAAAAATGGTGATTTTTCTGCGTCCAAGTAAAGTTGAGGATTTTTCTGTGTTCAGGTAAAAACTGGGACTTGTGCGCTGCGCTCAGTGACTACGAGCAGCTTCGCCAGGTCCACACTGCCAATTTGCCAGAGGTCTTCAATGAGGGTCGATACTTCAAGGCCCAGGGGCAGGATTCGCCTCAGCTCCGGCCCTTTCTGCAGAGGCAGGATGATGCTGCTCAAGGTAGGTCTATAACAGTATATTGAGAATACGTGAAGAGCAAGGGTGGCCAATCTTATCTGCAAAGGGCTGGTGTGGATGCAGGTTTTTGGGATAACCTTTAGGTCGGCTGTTCAAATCCAAGTCTGAGGACTCTTCAGCCAATTAGTCCGCTAATTAGTAATCTAATTAGGGAGTTACAGCAAAAACCAGCATGACTTCTTTCCATCTAAAGTCCGTCGGTCTCGCTCTCTCCCCTTCTAGAGAAGCGACTGTCGCGGGGCATCTCTCACGCCAGTTCGGCCATTGTGTCGCTGGCGCGGTCCCACGTGGCTGGCGACTGCCAAAGCGAGCAGCTGCCCCTGGAGATGCCCATCTACACGTTCCAGCTGCCTGACCTCAGCGTGTACAGCGAGGACTTCAGGAGCTTCATCGAGCGCGACCTGATCGAACAGTCCACTATGGTGTCCCTGGAGCAGGCAGGTAAGAGCGGCATGTCTCAGCCTGCTATCACGGGCACCCAGTGGCCGTCACACAAATAGCCATTGGGGGGTCATGGAAATGCTCAGTTACTACAGTAAATACGTATCAAGTGGTCTGATTGAGATGATTTTCCCAATAGAAAACATGCAGTCAAAGAATCAAGGCTAGTCTATGACGAATGCTAATAGGGTTTCAGCACAATGTAAGATGGATCACAAAGCCTGCCTGTACGTTGTTTTGGGTAATTGTCCTTCAACAGGAAAAACTAATGTAATGTAATGTAAATGTTATTATATGAAGGGTGAGGGTGGAATTTGTGCTGTAATTAAAATGCAGTCTGTTCCCTGTATGCTTCTGGGCCGGTACAGAGAAATGATCAGTACCTTCTTATGCCTTTCCAAGCCTTGTCTGTCATTATTTTCACTCTGTCCATGACGTGGTGACTTTGAACCAGGCCACTTCTGTCTTATGGTCCGCCTGCTTCTGCAGGACGTCTGAACTGGTGGTCCAACATGTGCACCAGCTGCAAGCGTCTTCTGCCACTGGCCACAACTGGAGACGGCAACTGCCTGTTACACGCAGCCTCTCTGGGTGAGTCTTCGCCCAGAGCTGAATCCTTACATAAACTCCCTCCACGGGAGGGAGCACCTACGTAAAACTCCTTTAAATCAGCTGGATCTAGGACTGTTGTTCTGAACCCCTTAGTGAAAGCGCAGTAAAACTGGCAGCGTTCGTTTGACAGTCGGTTTAGCTCTATAAGCTGGAGGTAGGTCTCTTGAAGCATGCAGAGGTGAGGTAAAGCTGCAGACGGCTCTCGGAAGTGAACATATTACAGTAACACTTATACATAGTGTGGACTACAGCCTGGTGATTCCTCACTGGGATTTAGACCCTGCCTGAAGATCATGTGCTTTTGAAATCAAAGTTTATTAGTGTGAGCACTGCAAAAAGATAATTCTCTGAATACTAAAACACTGGAGAAAACAGGGTTAGAGGAATGTCACTTCAAAATGTAATAACTTACATCAAATGAATTGAATTAAATAATAAAAAGTGATACCAGTTTCCAATTATGTAATTATAAGCATTTAAAATAGGAATAATAACAATGCATTAATAAATTGCATCATAAACATTTCCTATGTGTCTTATGAGTCTAGTAACCAGTTATTAATGTGCTAAACTCACTCACTTGTCGTTTGCTGATAATCGGGAGTAGTGATGGCCAAAACAATGCCTCATGAACCATTTGCTATATTTTCTAACCCCCACTAGATGGTGCCCTTGGCTTACTTTGAACATGCTTTGAACCCTTTTTTGAACAAACAGCACCATCTAGTGGGATCAGAAAATACAGAAAATAGTTCATGAAGCATAATTTTTACCATCATTAATCAGGAGTCGTGAGCCATATCTACCATGCTGCAGGGCATACAAACAGCACAAATACAACGGATTACAGTATGCGGAGGGGCACTAAAGGCAACATGGCTACAGACAGTCTACAAAAAGCAAATAAAAATGAATTTTTTTAAAGTTGGTGTGTGTTTATATGATAATTTGTAATATATTTTAGAATCTAAGACTTTAACCTGTGCAATGCTACAAAAATTTGAAAACAGTTTCAGCCGATGCACTGAAAAGAACCGGTTCAAAGACCCATTACTATGGTTCACTTGGATAGCTGATTTTGAGTCCAAGTAGTGTCTCTCACTAAGAGTTTGTGTAGTGCTTTTGTCTCTGACTGAAATTTGCACAAATACAAATGCAAACTGCATTGTACTGGACTTCGGTACAAATATATTTGTCACATTAGACTAGATTAGCAGTGTAAAATCACACACTATAGCAGGACTGACAGCATTTTCACATTGTGGGGACTGTTTTTTTTTGGTCCCTACAATGCGAAACTCAATTTTGCAAAAATCCATGAATGCAATCAAAGAACTAAAAATGCCACAAGCCTTGTGTCTTGTTTGGTTACTTATGGTTAAGGCTAGGGTTGGGTAGGGGTTAAGGTCATCATAGCTGGGATTAAGGTCATGCCCATGGAAAGGAATGAACTGTCCCCACAAAGTTGTAGATATCTAATTTGTCTGTGTGTGTGTGTGTGTGTGTGTGTGTCTGTGTCTGTGTGTTGCAGGCATGTGGGGCTTCCATGACAGAGACCTGGTCCTCAGGAAGTCCTTGTACGCCATGATGAAAAGCGGGGCTGAGAGGGAGGCACTGAAGAGGAGGTGGAGGTGGCAGCAGACTCAGCAGAATAAGGAGGTCAGTCCCCTGCCCCCCCCCCACCAACAAGGCTCCATAGGAAGCTGATCCTGTAGGGACGCATGGGTGTGTGTGTGTGTGTGTGTGTGTGTGTGTACAGGCCACACCTGCTCAGCTCAGCACTGAGAGCACAAGAACATTCCCATTAGGTCACAAATTCATTTCTTATTAATGGGCTGTTATTCATCTGCAGTTGCCATTTTAACTATAGCCCACAGCTGCGGAAATATTCGGAACATCATGAACATCTTTTTCATAAACACTGTGTTCTGTGTCATAAAATCGGTGTTGTCATTTTATATTGTTGTAATTTAGCCTTTATGACTGTCAATGATGTGGTTAATTGACTTGGTGTAAATTACATCTGCAGTGATCTGTCACAGGTAATGACACTGTAATAAATATTACAGTGCAAAGATTTAAAAAACGTTTATAGCAGGGGTGTTTTATCCGCAAAGGGCCGGTGTGTATGCAGGTTTTGGGATATCCTTCAGGTCAGGTGTTCAAGCCCAGGTGTGAGGACTCTTCAGCCAATCAGTACTCTAGGACTCTTAGGGATGTAACAGTACACAAAAATCACGGTTCGGTACAGTACAGGTACAGAGGGGGTAAAAGAATCACAACATAAATTGCTTATTTTTTTTCTTTATTAAACAGTGGTTTACTGAACACTGAAAACTAAAATGTACTTAAAAGTCAATCAAAATAAATATTCTCTCAAGTAAATAAAAATAAAATAAATACCCTTGAAGTTGCACATGTAGAAAATTTACTGCACCTGATCTGTACTGTATTTACATTCTCAGCTTTCAGCTTCATATTAGAACTGTGCAACACAAATATCTCAAAAAAATGCAAAGCATAACAAAATGAATATCCATTGTGGTGCAGTAATTTAAAAAATACCTGTGCTATACTTGTATTCACATTAATAGCTTCCAGCTTCACATTAAGACAAGAGGGTCTAGCTGCAAATGCCTGTAGAGTGGAGCTCCACCGGAAATACGTCACGTCCACAGGAAACACGTGATCTTTAAGGACGTAAAGTGGAGCTTCGGTTAGGGTTAGGGTTAGGTTTAGGGTTAAGGTTAATGTTTATTCGCTGGTGGAGCTCCACTCTACAGGTGTCTGCAGCAGGACCCTTCTCCATTAAGACGTACGCACGCGAGTGTAATGGTGCGGCTTCATCTGCCCCTTTCCGAATGTTACTCGGGGGAAACAAACAAACACACAAAGGTTCCACATATGCTGCATTTGTTCGGTACATATGCATACCGAGCCGAAAGACCCGTACCAAATATTTTCAGCACAAATACGTGTACCGTTACACTCCTACTGATTAGTTAAGGGCGTTGCAGCGAAAACCATGGCCCTTTCTGGGTAAGATTGGCCACTTATGCTTTAGAGTACAATTACCTGTAATTAAAAGGTTCAGATAGTTTTAAATGTATTCTGCTGACCTGTGTGTGTGACCTACTAAACACTGACTACATGGTCAGTGTTTTCTCTCATCAGAAGTGTATTTCTGTGTTAGTGTGTGTCTATCAGATTGTGTGTTTACTAGTGTTTCGAATCTGGCATCTTGTCCACAGTCAGGGCTGGTCTACACAGAGGAGGAGTGGGAGAGGGAGTGGAATGAGCTGCTGAAGCTGGCATCCAGTGAGCCGCGTACACACACCTCGGGGGGGTGAGTGACAATGCCAGCACACACACACACACACACACACAGGTGGTTGGGGGTGGGTATGACTGACATTCCCTGCACAGGGGAGCCCCAAACTATACAGGGCTGCTGTGACAGTGTGAGTCCTGCTTCATTATCAAACACCGAGAGCAGCGACACTCCAGCTGTATCACTGTGTGGCCTGACGTCCACAGCAGCATCTGTCATTTTTGTCAATTATATTTATTTAGCAGACACTTTTATCCAAAGCAACGTACATTTTTGAGAAAGCAGGATCAGACAGTCCCTGGGGCAATTAAGGGTTAGGGTTAGGGTTAGGGTTAGGGGTTAGGGGCCTTGGTCAGGGGCTGTGAGCCGTGCTTGCTGGACAGACCAGTGCCACACTGCCAGCCACTGACCATGCCCCTTACCCCACCTTTCTATTTGCTTCTTTGTATCTTGTTGGTTTGCAGTAGGAGCTATGCTGATTTTTCCTCTGCTGTCCTGTAGGTGGCGTGTAGCTACAGTATGTATGTACCGGCTTGCGCTCCTGGCCTGTAGATGGGGTGCAGATACACTGTGTGCTGTTGTTGTTCCCCTTGCATCCCTTAGGGGTGAGAATTCAGAGGAGCCCGTCTATGAGAGCCTGGAGGAGTTCCACGTCTTCGTTCTGGCCCACGTGCTACGCAGACCCATTGTGGTCATAGCAGACACCATGCTCCGAGACTCCGGGGGAGAAGGTAAGGATCGGGATTGCACTCCAGGTGATCTCCTGCTCCCTGTCATGTCAGCGATGAGATGACTCATACAAGACTGAAGAGTAGCCCGTAGATTTACCTGGGCAGAAACGATTAAACATTGTATAGGAAACTTTCCTGATCTTACTCACTAAACCCCTAATGGAACAGGCATTTGAACTATAATATACAATATTCTTTTAATTTGAAACTTTTAAAATACATTTATATATTGCAGTATATTTTATATATATATATCAGTTACCATTGCATTTCATATAGCAGTTCTTATGGATCTACAATTTTGCCGGAGCTTAAAATGAATACAGTAATCAGTTACCTGAATAAACAGGTGAGGTGAATTACTCAGCGTCTGCCAGGAAGTGAAAGCTGATTTAGCCTGTTGCTTTGATGGCAAATGGGTTGGAGCTTTGTGCCCGTACCTTCTGGAATAGATTCTGGACCCCCACAACCCTGGGACAAGTGGGTACAGAAAATGGATGGATGGATGGGTGGGTGGGTTGTCTTATTTCACATAAATCCCATTCTTGAGATCGAGTGGTCTGGTGGCCTCGCACCTTCAGGGTTATGGGTTCAGTGCTCGCCCCTGTGTCTCTGTGTGTGGAGTGGGCATGTTTGACCCGTGTTCTTTGCAGATTTCATGTGGGTAGGTGAATTGTCTTCTCGAAATCGCCCATAGGGACAGGAGCATATGTAAATTAATTTATGATATGCCATAACTTGCTATATCTGTGTATAGGAAACGTGTTTCCTCTGTTCATTTTAGCATTTGCACCGATTCCCTTTGGCGGCCTGTACCTTCCCCTGGAGGTCCCACCAAATCGCTGCCACTGTTCCCCGCTGGTACTGGCCTACGACCAGGCTCACTTCTCAGCCCTTGTGTCCATGGAGCAGAGGGATCAGCAGCGTGAGCAAGGTACAGCTAACCAATCGCATAACAGAGTGAAGGAGAGCTGACCAATCACATCACAGAGCAAAGTACATCTGATCACTCACAGTACATTTGACTAATTATATTATAGAACAAAGTACATGTGATCATGTACTACAAGTGAATGACATAAATGTAATTCAAAAGCAGTTTACAAATCTTTAAACACAGCCGATTACAAATGCAGATAGCCTATATGCATATGTATACAGTGCATACTGCTATACTTACAAACGTGGTCAAATTTGTTGGTACTCTTCCACAAAAAACACAACTGTCTCCGAAATTAACACAAATCAATCTTTGCTTTTAATTATTGATTCAGTTGAATATTTCATATAATTAAACAAATCAAAATGGCACAGACAAAAAAAAGATGGTACCTTTAATTTAATATTTTGTGACACCACCTTTTGCAGTAATCACTGCCAACAAGCAATCTCTGTACTTCACAATGAAACGTCTGCATTTGCCAACAGGTAGTCTGGCCAACTCCTCCTGAGCAAACTGCTCAAGCTGTCTCAGGTTTGAAGGGTGGTGTCTCCACACTGCAATTTTCAGATCTTTCCATAGATGTTCAACATGATTAAGATCTGGGCTCATGGAGGGCCATTTAAGGATATTACAATGATTTTTCTCAGCGATTATGCAGTGCTTTTAGCTGTATGTTTTGGGTCATTGGAGGACCCATGACCTGCGACTGAGGTTGAGCTTTCTGACACTGGGCAGTATGTTTCGCTCCAGGATGCCTTGGTAGTCTTGAGACTTCATTGTGCACAGATTCAAGGTTCCCTGTGCCAGATGCAGCCAAGCAGCAGCATTTTTTCTTCTGTAAACATAGAGCTGATGTGACTGGTCAAAAAGCTCATCAGTCCAAAGGACATCTTCCAGAAACTTTGGGGCTTGTCAACATGTATTTTGGTGAATTCCACTCTGGCTTTTTTAAGTTTTTCTGTCAATAGTGGAGCCTCCTGGGTCTTCTTCCATGAAACCCATTATTATTCAAAATGCGACAGATGGTGCGATCAGAAAGTCACGTACTTTGACCTTGGAGCTCAGCTTGAATGGTTATTGATGGTTTCCTTGACTCTTTTTCTTCCAATCCACACTATCCTTCTGATCAACCTCGGGCTGCATTTCCTCTTGTGTCCACATCCTGGGAGGTTGGCTACAGTCCCATCAACCTTATACTTTTTAATAATATTGGCAACTGTGGTCACAGGAACATGAAGCTGCTTGGAGATGGTCTTACAGCCTTTACCTTTAACATGGTTATCTATAACCTCCTTTCTGAGCTCCTCAGACAGCTCTCTCCTTTGCTTTCTCCGGTCCATGTTCAGTGTGGTGCACACAATGATACCAAACAACACAGTAGCATGTTCTTTCCCTTTAAATAGGCAGGTGGCGCTTTGACCTTCTGCTCTGGTGAGTAACACCACAGCACAGATACTGAGGAACAGTTCATCATCTTCAGGTTTAGACAGCAGATTTGCATGCAGGACATTGTCTATCTAGCTGAGCGTCTGTATATAGCGGAGGTATTCAAACTATGGGCTCCCCCTGCTGGGATGCAAAGGCATTGCAGGGGGGCAGAGGTGAGGGGGGGGGGGGAAGAGAACTGTGTGAGGGGTTCGAGGTGCGGGTAGATCTATTTTGAAATTGCTAATTTAAGAAATATTAAGTATAATGTGAACATTATGTGCCTGTATACAATATATGATGCTAGCAAATAAAAATGATTAAATCTGTGTGTGTGTGGGCAGGGGGGATCCCAAGGGGTGAGTTTGAATACCACTGGAGTACAGTGTTGGCAGTGTTGGCAGTGTTGGCAGTTGCGGAGAGCTAGCATATAGTTGCATTTTGTTCACTGTTTTCGTTGATATGGAGCACTTCTGCTTAGTTTATGTAGTGTTTTAATATTGCTATGTTATGTTTGTATCTAGATTTAGTCTGTACTGTTAGCAGATTTTGAAGATCATGTTTTAAGCAGCAATGCCTGCAATGCAGAGTGGAGGACTGTGTGTATTTTTACCTGTAGGGGGCACTCTTCTTCCACAGTGCTGACGAACATAGCTTCTGTGATTATAACTGGTGGAATGAAATGTACACAGATGTCAGAACTCCACTCTGTGGTCTGGCAGCTTTGCACTACTGAATGACATCCAGCCTCCATTGCTAGCAGATACAAAGTTGTTCATATGTAATCTAATGTGTGATGAATTCTTATTGAAAAGAGAGATTGGTTAGTCATAAATATGTACTGATTTTTATTTTGCAGTGGGTTTACGCAATTACAGTAGCACAAAGTAGCGCACTTAATGGGTTTATCTCTGGAGAGGATTTGGGTTGGAAACAGGGATGACAGTGAGTGAACCTGACGGCCTCACAGTGCTGCAGACAAGCTGCTTATGCTACTGGCCATTACATCACATATGGTGATGTAATGGTGAGGTCGTTCAACCTGCCCTTAATCTGCCCAGTGCCCGCAATCCGGTCGTTCAACCTGCCCTTAATCTGCCCAGTGCCCGCAATCCGGTCGTTCAACCTGCCCTTAATCTGCCCAGTGCCCACAATCCGGTCGTTCAACCTGCCCTTAATCTGCCCAGTGCCCACAATCCGGTCGTTCAACCTGCCCTTAATCTGCCCAGTGCCCACAATCCGGTCGTTCAACCTGCACTTAATCTGCCTAGGGCCCGCGGTCTGGTGGGCACCCTGTCCTTAATCTGTCCAGTGCCCGCGGTCCGGTGGGCACCCTGTCCTTAATCTGCCCAGTGCCCGTGGTCTGGTAGATGCTTCAACATGTAACGAGAAGGGATGGAGTGTGCTGTAAATGCCAGCCATCCACTTTCAGCAGGCCTTGGTGTAGTTGCACTTACATGGTGTTTCATGTTTCATAGTCCATGTTATCCCTGTTTTGCAGCTATTTTAATGTGAAAGACTTGTACAGGACTTACCAGTGGATTTATTTGCCAAACATGGTAAATTGCTATAAATTTTTGTTTTTTTTACATTGCGGAGTAAAGGGATATACAAATTGTGACCAATAGAGGGCACCCTCTCCTGCCAGGGCATGCAGTCACTAGTAAAGTACAAGGGCACTGTAGAAACCATATGTTGTGCATTCATTCATTTATTGCCGATTAAGAGGAAGTTGTAATTTTGCATAATTTTCCATCATAACTGCCATGCTGTTGAATTCCCTCAGGCACTTTTTTTCACAGCACAGATGATCTTTGCCTTGCTTAGAAATTCTCTGTATTTACCATGCAAATACAAATATTGATCAATTTTTTATGATGCGCAGGAAAAATCTGAATGCTCAGAGTCCATGATTGAGTAGTATTGTAGTAGTTCATGGTTTATGTAGTCGTTATACAAATAATTAGGTACCCATAGCAACAACTAAAACAGGAAGAAAACACTCACACTAAAAAAGTACAGGGATGATGACTTGTCCAGTTTAAAGTTCCCATTTTGTGTGCCAGTTCTGGCTAACATTTCTGCAGGACCCTGATGACAGTTAATAGTTTTCAGTTAGAAAACTGAATACATATAAGCCTAGATATCTATCAGTTATATATAACATGCTGCCCCCTAGAGGCCAGGGAGCAGCACTGCCTGTGTAACTCCAAACACCAAAGACTGAAACTATCCTTTAACTCAGCTCTATCTCAGACTGTAACTGTTAATGTTGAGCTGTTTTTGCAAAGACAAGTATAAAAGCATTGTATGTATGTATTTATTAGTTTATTTACTTATTATTACATACAGTGTGTGTTTGCAGTTGCCATCTAGTCTCCATCACATAGTGTTCAGAGTCGTGTGACCCAGATCACGTTCACACGTGCATAAGAAACACATGTTCGCAAACGCACGCACACGGGAACGCGTGGGGAGACGTGCAGCGAGCTGCGGTTTATCCCCACAGCTTAATCAGCGCCGCTGTCGGGCTTTCTGCGCACTCTCTACACCTACTTCCGGAAACATTGTGAAACAATCCAACGCAGCTGCCAGGACAATCCCTAGATTGTTTGGAGAATCCTGGATGGTTTCTGGCTGCTTCTCCACGCTGGGGAATGGAATGTGCTCTGAGTGAATAAACAGTGTTTCCTGAATGGGCGATGTCGGGGGTGTCGGGGGGGGGGGGGGGGGGGGGGGGGGGGGGTTGGGCTTGGTAGTACAGGTCCGGTTAAGAACATGATGTGTTCAGCAATGTGTTTCAGTGAACTTGTCTGTCTGACCCTTACAGCCGTCATCCCGCTGACCGACTCGGAACACAAACTGCTGGCTCTGCACTTCGGCGTGGACCCCGGGCGCGACTGGGAATGGGGGAAGGACGATGGCGACCACGCCCGCATGACCAGGTGATACGCCATCCAGACGTCTGCAGCATTCGGCGCCAGGCCCATGTTCCGGATGCACCGTGACATCACAATATGTATCGCGTTGCGCAACATGCAGATTCAGGAACTGTCGATAAGCCGCTGTTTTCTCAGAACATGTTCGGTGTGGGAGGACTGGCGTGCGTCCAGGGTGTACCAGCCTTGTGACCTGCACTCTCTGTGGAAGGATCTAGGCTGACTGTACGCATGCGCTTGATGGCGGGTTACAGAAAGGGGGCGGAGGCATGAGATTATAAACCCCACTGATATGGGCTGATATTATGTGAAAAATTAGGAAAATTAGGAAAGAAGATGTTAAAAGTATTGCAACAATTTTATAGACTAAGGCAAAAATATTATAACAGTCAAAGGAAGGAAGATCAGACAGAAACTCAAGAACTTTTATTTGATTGTATGTTTTTATTTGGTAATGATTTTCATTAACTGCACCTTCATAATGCATTCATACAACATTCAGTGCACCTTCAAAATGCCTTTATAATGCAGTCATAGTATATTCATAAGCAGCATGTAAGTATACCTTAACACAGGGGTGGGGAACCTGTTTGGGAGTCGCTGTGGGTGCTGGTTTTTGGGGTGGCCTCTCAGTCAGCCATAATAATCCAGTGGTTCTCAACTCCAGTCCTGGGGAGTCTCTGTGATTGGCTGACTGAGAGGCCATCCTAAAAACCTGCACCGGCTCTCCATGGAACAGGTTCCCCACCCCTGTCTTAACATGTACCGTTCACAATACTGTCATTGAACAAGATATGACAGCTGTAATATACATTAATAACAAAACAATCATATAATCATAGAATGCTTGTTATTAATGTATATTAAAGCTGTCATATTCATTGAAAGTGTTATATGCTGTTTATGAAACAGGTCATTTGTGTCACTTAGCTTGTCTTTATATAAACAGCTGAAAGGTGGGTTTGAAAACGGGTAGAAATTTATGTACATTTTTAATTAAAAAACTTAAAACTTGCATAACGGTCTGTGCTTTCATCTGTTAAATAATCAATGTGGCACACAGTCTTTGACAGTAAGTACACAGGCATAACCAGACCATCCTACTGACATGGGACCAGCAGTGTGCCCATATTGCCAACTCTGTTGTCCATTTGATCTGATATTATAATCACTGCAATACAGTCACATGACCTTTCACCACATGCAGATTCCGTCTGGGTGCTTAACTTCTTTTGTCACTGAGTATGGTATTAGAGATACCAATTCATGCAAATTACTTGTTTCAATTGCAACATAGTGTTTGATATTAAATATACTATTTTGTTCTTTCCGGCAGTCATGTTCTGTCTTTGGAGGACAAACTTACCATCCTTCACAAGTACATGAATGTAACATGGATCCGAATTTCATCAGAATCAAGGGTAATTGTTTCTTACCTCTGTTTTCCTCCCTGCGGTTTTTGGCACAATAGGTTTTGTGATAATCACATGGATTTTATTACCCATAATTCAGTTTCTCTTCATTTTTGATTATTGGAATTTGAGGGTTGGATAAACAAGTAATCCAACAAGAAACCCCTGTAAAAATTCTTATTGACAATAAAAAAAAATTATTGGTGTTAGTGGAACACTGTCTGAGAGTTGCTGAATTATACAGTACTGTGCAAAAGTCAAAATGTTTAAAGATATTAGGTAATAGGTGTATTTGCTTATAAAAAAAACATACACACACAATTCAACATTAGAATATATGTAAATTGATAGTAACGGAATAAAAATTAACAAGAATTTCTGTTCTATTGATAGTAACTGATATCTAGTTGGATGGCTAGATGAACGGCGCTTCGGTTCCCAAACCTCTCTGCAAGGGCACCTCAGCCAATCCATGTATTTGTTACATTTCACCACCAGCTCAATAAATGTATTAATATAATTAGTTAAATAACTCAGTAAGTATTTAGTATTGACCACCCAAACATGGTGTGCTAGTGATCGAGTCAAAAAATACATTATGCAGTATTGAATGGTTGTTTCAAATATCTGCGGTGACTTCAGGAGACATGGCTAAACGAACACACTTTGACATAGTTTTACACCAACTTAAAGAACATTTAAACGTCACTTTCTTTGACTCCCTAAAACTTTTGACAGTACTGTATTTACCCATAATCCTCTGGTCTGTGCTTCTCTCATAGCTCATGTGTTCTCCTTCCAGGCGCCTCTGGCTCAGCCAGAGTCTCCCACAGCCTCTGTGGGAGAGGATGTCCAGTCCCTGGCCGACTCCATGGACTCAGACCGCGAGTCCATCGGCAGCAACTCCAACATCAACAATGGCAAACCCAACAAGGAGAAGGAGAAAGACAAGCAGCGCAAAGACAAAGATAAAAACCGGACAGACTCAGTGGCTAACAAGCTGGGAAGCCTTAGCAAAACTCTGGGGATAAAACTCAAGAAGAACATGGGAGGTTTTGGGGGGCTGGTGCACGGCAAAATCAAATCCAACTCCACTAGCAGCCGGAGTGCAGAGAATGGCGAGAAGGTCAGGAAGAAGGACGCCAAGCCTTGCAAGGGGAGCAAGGAGGATTCGGGACAATCCGCTAGCACGTCCTCTTCAGAGAAGACCACCAGCCCGTCCCCCACAAACAAAGTGCTGGGAGCTTCTCCCGTGGAGAAACACAGCAGCTCAGGTAGGTTCCTGGGCGACGGGGTGCCGGACCACTGGAAAAACAGCTCCGACGTCAAGCTGAGCCTCAGCATCTTGCGGGCGGCCATGCAGGGCGAGCACAAGTTCATCCTGGCCGGCCTGCTGCTCACCAGCCGCCGGCACCAGTTCCACCAGGAGATGATCAGCTTCTACTTGGCCAACGCCCAGGAGCGCTTCTCCGCCGAGCAGGAACAGAAGAGGAAGGAGGCAGAGAAGAAGCCTCTGACCAACGGGGCGACGCCGAAGAAACCGGAGCAGGAAAGCGCTTTCCAGAAGCCAAGGCCGGACTGCTCTACGCCGGAGAGCCACTCCCCGGTCCTGCACCCAAGCCATACACCCCAGAAGAGGCACAGCCCCTCCCCTGCCCCCTTCTCCTCCCCTAGTAATGGTGCTAAGTCAGGTGGGCCCATCGCCGTGTCTGCCCACTACAGCCATACGCCGCCCATCCAGAGACACAGCGTCATCCACCTACGGGCCGTCGGCTTGCAGTCACCCAGCTTCCAGGACGAGCCCCTCAGGTCCGCAGTGGGAACACTGAAGACCTGCGCCACGTACCCCCAGCAGAACCGCTCGCTGTCCTCCCAGGGCTACAGCCCGGCCCGCATGGTGGGTGTGTGCACGGCGAACACGGGGGAGTCACTCTCCTACAGCATGGTGGGAGATCACAAGTCCCACACCTACACTAACGGCTTCGACGCCGGCGACGTCCTCGACTGCCTCGAGTTTGCAGATGAGGACTCCCCACGTCCCTGGCGGGGCCACGAGAAAGCCAGGAGCCAGAGGGCACGGAACCCTCTCTACTGCCCCCTACAGAAGCGATGCAAGAGGGAAAATTGCTCCTTTTATGGCAGGCCAGAAACAGAAAACTACTGCTCGTACTGCTACAAGGAGGAGCTTAAACACAGAGAGAGGGAGGGGAAGCAGTTTAGACTTGGCTAATCCGCAGCAACAGAGCCGCTGCCACCCTGATACACAGTAATGGCCCACGGTAAAGCAGGTTTCATAACAATAGAGTATCCCTTTGTGTATCCTCGAATCAACCGACACACTCAATAAGAAAGCCGCAACTGAATTCAGTTTACAACTTTGGCCAGATACCTCTCACTTTTTAAAACTCATTCTCTGACCGTTTTATGTGTAACGCTTATGTGTTTCACAAACTCATGAGGCTCAAATGATAAAAAACGAAGACTGCCATATCTAAAACATTCACATTTAGGTCCTAAGTTAGAGTCCATTTATTTTTCAGCAAAAAGGTTTGCAAAACTGAACCACAATCTTCAGAAAATGTGAAAAAAGAAAAAACTGAATATCGAAAACCGTTGAATTTGTATGACAAAGAAATCTTTTACAAAGCAATAAGATTTTCAGTGTCATTGTTTTTTGTCAATCTTCTATCTATGCATCGATAATATCAGTAAGAAATTTGTTTGGGATTTAACCCCCAATTACTAACTACTTGCTCAATTAATTCCTTATGTGCGAAATTCTGAGTATTTTTACAAGATGCATCAGGAAAATCAGTACACAAATGAATTAAATTAATAGGTATATTAAATGTATTGTTTACATATAGGTCTTCAGCTGTGTTGGTGCGCTGGTATATTACATCAGAGTACTGCGGAGTCATTTTACACGAAAGTATCACTGCCACTAACACTGAGTTCTGGGGACGGGCTGACACAGCGCTTGGAGCCTGAACTCACCTAAGGGATATGCAGCAAAAACCATCCAGGTCAAAGTGCATCCCTGTCAGCCTTTTCATTCAACCTACAGCCCTTTGGGTTTCTCTGCTCCACCTGAGCACCATGCTATCGTTGGTTGAGTTTCTTCTGGCCAAAGATGTAGGCTGCTTTCACGGGTAACTTCCAAACACCACAAGCGCTCTGTGCTCTGTTTCCGTCTCTGTAAATACCAGATGTGTGGACTTAACACCATTAGGAATGTAAATGTTATTTTGTATTCATTTCGAAGTTGTACATTAAATTAATTTGCACATTAGGTACCAATGTAAAAAAAAAAAAATTAAAAAAAAAGAAAAGTGTTTGTTTGTGGACTAGAAAATGTTACTATGTGGGAATCTACAAGCCAAGGTTGAATTGTTATATGTAAAATTATTTTTATATTGTTTCCACAAAGTGTCATGAAGCAATATTTTGCTCTTTTTTCTTATAGACACCATTGTGACTTTAATTACTGGCCTGTCGAACGAACTGAAATGAACAAGCGGGAGTCTTATGAAGCCTTGTGTTTTTAGCTGGAAATCTGAATGCCGACTGACGCTTAAGTTACTGACTGCTGTGTCTTCATACCCGCACATGAAGTTGAATCGTGAGGAAAGTTCAATCTTCCGTTCAGTTTTCCCCCGCCCTCTTAAAGTCACGGCGGCGGGAGCGTCAGCGTCGTGTGCGGAAAATGAACACGCTGAAGCCAAGGGGAACTTCATTCGTGCTCAGCTGTGCGATTTAGCCAAGCTGAGCCTTGGTGGTGTCACTCTTCACATAACAGTAAGAGTTTTGGCTGGCATGTAACAGCAAATCCACGGGCTGGTTTTTCTATACACTAGAATATCGATATGCAGCAGTAGTGTGTGAGCTTCGCAGTCAAGGCCAGCCCAGATCTGGGTGATGCCATCACAGTGCGCTCCCATGACCTCCATAAGATACACCACCCTACTGTCCCTATTCCAGTGACTGGCCATTTTGTGCAACGACATTCAGGTCTTAGATAGGCCACACAATGTCCCTGTATTAGGTTACAGGTGTAGACTACTGTATATTGTTTTATTTGGCTGTTCGGTTTTTAATGAAGATGTGCATCTAAAAGAAAAAAAAAAAACTCGAATTGCTTCAGTGTTCTCAGCTCCCTTACGTTTTGCATTTGAAAAAAAAAAAAAAGTTTGAAATTTTAGTTCCAGAGAGCGTCGTTTGGATATTAAAAGCAATAACACCAACATAAGTGTGTGAACTCGGCTGAAAAGTGTCTCGTTTGGTGCTGATAATCCACAGCTGGTTTCCTTTTTAAAGGAAAATGAATCCTGTCACATTTCGCTTCTTCACTACTGTCATTTCAAGCCACATTCCTGTGTAGTTTTGCATCATCATTTAATAAGAGTAAATACAACTGAAAACAAATATTTCTTCAATCATCAACAGTTGTTTATCTCTCAGATAGGTCACAGTTAAAATACACAAAACAGTGGCAGAAAACACCATGATATCAATACAAATCAGTAGATTTGATCATAGATTAACATATGTAATCACTAACCAAAACTGCAACGGTTAACAGGAAGTACTAATATGATTTGTATATTATGCTGTAGTTAATCCACCATAGCACATAATCATATCACATTACTCATCTCAGTACTTCTTCAATTACTCATTACAGTACATGGTATGAAAAGTGCCACTCCACATCACAGTACTCAACACAGTATTCTTAATGCTACCATAATACTCCTTACAGCATTCATGACATTACTGTTCCATATCACAGTAATCATTAACATATTTTCCAACACTACAGGACCTCACCTACACACAGTATTCTACACAGTAGTAACAACATTTCATGTAACTCATAATTCCTATTTTAAAAATGCTTGATCTCTTCCTTCCTGAAGAGCACTTTTAAGATTAAAACTCCAGTTGTTGAATATTTAAATAAACAATGTTGATAAATACCCCATCATTTCCTTTTGAAAGCAGATGAACTTCCCATGACTAATTCCTTCTGGGAAGCGAGGAGTTTTTTCATGTAAGCTTGTCTGGATGGGGATACTATTCTGTGGTTATAGTGGATGCAGATTTCCAGAAAATGTCCCTGTTAAGTACAGTGTCCAGTTTCACTACACAAATCTGTTTACAAATTTTAAGGATGAAGAGTGAAGGATGTTTTTTCATCAACACAAAGACACTGCCATAGTTCCTGGCAAGTGGTCTGAATTGCTTTGTTTCTTCACCAGGAAGGAGGGCTAGTAGCTAGTTATCAGATGATGCTGCCGTTTCTAGTGGTTCGCGGGCTCTGCTTAGCATGATGGCTCAGCATCTTAAAGCTTCACAGCCAGGGAGCACTGTGAGTCATACACATGACAATAAAAGCATTTCCAGAAACACAGCGACACAAATAAGCGCTGTAAAATCAAAATGGGTGCATTGTTTGGTTTAATTTAAGTTTTAACTATCAGGAGAGCGTTGCAGGCTTTCATGGTGATGGGCCATTTTGAAAGTGGAAACAGTGCCTGGTTTCTAAGGCGATTAGAGATGCAGGAGCGGCCTTGCTCTGGCTCTGGCGGTAACTGGTAGGCTGACATGATTTGCTAGCATACAGGAAATAGGAAATCATATGACCTACGGCTTGATTATACAGCACCTCAGTAGTGGATCAGCGATCTGGATCAGCCATCACATGCCCCAGAACAAACGTGCGGGTGAACTGAGGAAAAACAAGAGTTTAAATGGAAGCCTCTGGTCAATTTTACTCTTTCCTCGAAGTACACTTTTAACTGTTTTTCACAAAATTTGGAATTTGCACATGAATACATGTAATTCCCCATTATTCACATAGAAATAAGTACATGCTGTTATGTAGGTAATCGAGGCATTTTAGTGTGACTGGAAATGCAAACCTGTCTGATTTTGCAGTGGTCTTGTTTCGGTCAATAAAACCACCCCTCTCTGCTTTAATTAATGTGGTCCAGCTGGCTGTAATTTGACTGATTACTTTGTTAGCTATAAATACAGCCAGCTGGGCAGCTTTTAGAGGATCCTGAGGAAATTCATTAGTTGAATATAGTATTGGGCATTTTTGGCTTGTGCCTTATGTTTTGTAGTTGCAGTCTTTTATTAGGTACATTTCTACATATTTTGTTTGCTTTTTAAAGGGACTTTGGTACCATTTGATTTGGCTTTTGGCTACCCTGCTGTCCTATATCCATCATACCGCTGGTGGTAGACCACCATCACACAACTTAATGTATAGTACTGTGTCGTACTGTGCGTGTGTGTGTATGGTACAGCACATAGGATTGGTCTGTCGTTTTATTTAATCCCGGACATTAATGGTTTTACTTTGAATTATTATCTGTTCAGTAGGTTCCTATAACTCATTATCATCCCAGAATATACATACTAGATTGGCTGTTTGGTATTCAGAACACCACTACAAATAAACACACAACACTCCAAAAAAAGTCTTTTATGTTTATTTATTTTTTTTGCCAAATGTGATCTTAGCTCATGCATACAGGTTAAGATGCTGTATAGAATTTTACATTTCGTTATTTATTTTTTTTTATTTGTATAGGACATAATCACAATATTCGTCTAAGTACAAAAAGTCATACAAATACATGGCAGAATTACAGGGCATTAAGTTCTGTGTAATCTGCAGGAATTTTAACTGTAACACTTCGGCAAACACAGAGATTTGGTGGATTAACAAATATGGAGGTTGTGGCAGCTTTGACAAGGTCATGAAAGAAACTGGTTTTTGTTAAGAAAAAGATTATTCACGGAATGGGCTTGGCGGGTCATGTGACACAGGAAGAGACAAATAAGTAAGGGTTTCTGCAGCATTGACGTGTGTGAGGAAAGAAAGGGCATTAATGGGTGCACAGTCTACACTACACTAAAGACACTGCAAGACCTCAAGTATCACCCCACATCTTATATTCTGCTGAATGCCAAGAAATTGCTACTCATCTATTTGACTGCATTAACAATTTTTCGAATTTATGAAGTCACTTACAACCTTTCTGGACAACTCCGGCTCATCGGTGTCACTGATTTTACAAAACAAAGCACGCAGAGATGGAAAGTGTAAACTTTTATAATTAGGGAAAGTGCATAAATACAAGGTTGGAGATAAGTGTGGTCTGGGGCGCTTGAGGCTACTTTACACTGACCCCTGTGGACATTTGTGTGGCAAGGTTTCAGGACATACTTTGTTTGCTGAATTCTTTAAGCAAATATCCATTTCACAATGAAGGCTGGTGACTTCCGGTTGGCGCATGCACCGGAGCTGGTGGGAATTAATGATCAATACTGGGAATTCTCCTTCGCCTCCTGCAGCCAGAAGAGTTGGTACACACTGCCACCTGGCCATTCGCTGCAGGCAGTGTCCAGTAGTGAAGAGACAGGACAGACAATGGAAGGGGGGGTCTGTCCATTTTTCATGCACGTATCCATATTTTGGAGTCAAATGTGAGGTCACGTATGCAGAATGCCTCATTCCTGAAGACTTTGGTCACGAGTGCTGACCACAATTTGAGTGAAAACATGGGAGGGGCCGCAGTGACCCGGCAGTGAGCTCCGCAAGAGCCCAGTGCAGCTCGTTGGCCTACAGTGTGACGTTTCCCCATTTTCCATCCCTGAAAAAACAAGGTTCACAGACTTAGTCCGGTTCTCACAATGTCCTGGTCTGCCCTTTCCTCGTCGGCGAGAAAGAGGAGCTGGAATGTTTTTGAGCCGCAGGGTGATGTGTCCCGCTGGGCGGCGGCTTTCCCTTATATGGCAAATGGGGGGGGGGGGGGGTTTGTTCAAATACACCAGTTTGACTGGACTGGAAATTAATATCTCAGCAAAATACACTATACAAGAAAGGAGAAAACTGAACTAAAACAGATAACTGGATAACAGTAAAAACATTGCACAGATGTAAATAAATACATACAAATTCAAATAAAGCCTTTATACAGTGGCTTGATGAATGCAGTCTAAATATAGTAAAAACAATCCTTCAGAAGCTGGAGAAAGTGTATTTTGAAAGTATGTCTTTTCAAGAGTTGAAATAGATTATGTCTTACCTATACAATAGAGGCAGTGACGTCAGTTATGACAAAATGGAACTGTACTTTTAAAAGGCTGAAAGCACATTATCAATAATATAAATTATTATTATGGAGCTGGTTTAAACCTGAAATACCTCATTTAATATTTAATATACAAAAAAAAGCCTGAAATTCATTCCTTGTAATACATTAAAACCATCATGACAGACATGTAAATGAACAAAAACTTCTTCTATAGTATCTCTGGATATATGCATTTAAATTCTGGTGTTTCATGATATGTCCCCAACTTTAATGATCATAATTATGCCAAAAGCAAACAGAATCTTGTTTAGTCTGTTGTGAACGTTCTATCCCATTACGTCAGCATTTCAAAAGTAATTTTGTAATCTGAACCGATCATTCAATGGCATTAATGGCTTGAGCCATAGCTTAATGCAAGGCTAAAGTCAAATTTTCCTGGATGATAAGCAATACTTGTTTTTTTTTGTAATATAATGTTACATTCTGTTAATCATTGATATCTGATTTATGAAAAAAAAATATTACTTTGTTAAGTAAGCTTAGAACTTGAACATTTTTATTCCCAAGGCAATATCATAATTAAATAATATTGGACCATTTTTCTAAGCCAGGAAGCTATTAACCTAACTTGTACCACCACCCTGAAAAAATGATGATGATCATCATCCTAGGAAGGTTCAACACTAGTTAATTAAAAATAACATCTCAGAAATATATATATGCCTACGCTGTACTACCTCACAATGCGGTGGTCTCCATGGTTATGTGACATACAAAAATAAAACACAGCAACCCCAGAAAAAAATACCTTTATGAAAATTCCCAGTTTAAATAATATATTCCCCCAAACTTTCCCTTTCTACATTGCAGGGAAGCAGGGCAATATTAAGTCCAAGGGAACTTCAGTGTCTATAGATGAAATTGAATGTCTGTTTCAAAATGTTCTTTGACATAATGAAGTCCACTCAATTACTGAACACTGTACAAAATTACAACAAATAACAATGCAAGCAAACAAAAACATAATCGATAACTACAATAATAGAATCCATACTGACTGAGATGCAGCACAGGTACCCTAAAATAAATCCAAAATGAACATTAACAACATCACACAATACATATTTAAAAAGTCAGAAAAGGAAATGGCCTCTTTTCCACAATGTTCAGATCAGTGTAATGTGAGACAAGCACAGAATAAATAGCACGTGTCTAATGTTTTGATTGGATCATTTGGAAAAAAAAAATAATAATAAAAACATTACACACACATACACACACACACATGTCCAGGCAACCAAAAATCATTATCATAATAGTAAAACATATTTGGAGTCTGATTTCATCTTATTTAGACTGCATAACCAGTTATACTCTGTATGGGCAGATTACATACTAATACTCTCAAAAAATAGATACTACACTGTTAAAATAGATACTACACTATTAAAAGATAGATAATACACTACACTTATGAATTTGGGGGGGGGGGCTTTCCATCACTGTAGGCCATTAGTTTTCTCCAAACTGATCAATGTTTTTACTGATTATACCTAATATAGGTGTGGGCTGCCTTAACTTTGCCAGTGAGCCCATACTGGTTAAGAAGTCTGTCTCCCCATCCATTGCCCAGTGCCTCTGTCACATGACTTTCTCCTCTAAGCCAAGCCGGCTCTCAGTGAAGTAACAAAAATGATCACTTGGGTTCTGCTGCCCCAGGCCAAGGAAGAAAAATGAGAAAATGAACAGCAGTGTAACATCCAGGCGCGAGGTGATGCGAGAGGGGCGAGATGTGGAAACTTCCTGCGGAGAACTGGGGACCTGAAATCAACCTCTGTGTCAATTCAGCCGTAACAGATACTCGCAGAAAGAGATGGGACACGCGGATGGGGCAAGTGAATGGGGCAGGCGGATGGGAAGCGCGGATGGGAAGCGTGGATGGGGCGTGCGGATGGGAATCGCGGATGGGAATCACGGATGGGAAGCGTGGATGGGAATCGCGGATGGGAATCGCAGATGGGAAGCGCGGATGGGGCGCGCTGATTCATGTCTGTCCTGAGGTAAAAGTGAAGCAGGGATGGAACAAAGCAGTGATATAAGTGTCATAATATGCAACTCTCCCCACACGTTGGTCTCAACAATTGACACGTTGTGGTAACGACCAATACAGTCCTCCATTTACGTCATGTGATTTTTGGGCTCAGAAAAAGAAAAAATAAATAAATCGTGGTGGGATTCTGTCACAACTTGATTTTAGTAGGCTGCCAACAAAGCAGCCTTTCAAGTGTCCCATTTCAGTGTTGAGTCAGTGGAACACTAAGTCAGCCACACGCTGTGTTGACACATGTAAAGCAGGCCTAGGTTTTTCTGGGTTTTTTATGAGGGGAAAACGGCTAACTTTGAATCTGTTGGAGTTCGTGTCAGGTTATGGACACAGCCCACCTGGGCCCTTTAACCCAACGAGGGCATAAAGCGAATTAATATCAAGGACATGCACAGGCTACTTTCAACAAAGGCACGCCTAGTTACTAACAGGCACAGATTGCAAGAATATATATATATATATATATATATATATATATATATATATATATATATATATATATATATATATATGTGCATCAATGTATATAAACTAGATTAATATGGCATAAAATCTGTGTTAAAATATCTGGAAGCTTTCTTGGGCCTGTTTGCTGAGCCGGAGGGGGCCATTGTCACCCTTGAGGAAAATGCCGGTAGCAAACTGTTTGTTCTAGTACTTTGATGATAATTTGGTAGCATCATTATTTACAAAAACACAAAGAATTTTTTACAAAGAAATAAAGCCTTTTTTCTTTACCAAGGGAAGATGCTACCAGTATTCCGAGTGCTTTTTTTCTGTACAGACACAAGCGGCTCCAAAATAAGACCAAAAGGACTGTTGCCTCCACCCTTATAGACGAGAAGAGGGCCGGGATTTGCATCTCCTCTCATTACAGCCTCCTGTAGTGACAGATCACGTCTGAAGCCGTCGATGCGGTGGCACGCGGCGCAAACAAAGCAGTAATTACACCGACGACCACAACAAGGACCATCTTTTTCACATCCTGTCAAGACGCACATTACGGTAAGAGAGCAGGAAGGCGCAGGAGCCATAGGCTTTGCAGAACCGTCCTGAACTCTGCCAGTCAGCCACAGCATTTGCTTGCAATTTAGATTTTTTCTTCTTTTTTTTTTCTTTTGGTTTTTATAGGAAACTACACAGTACCCCTGGGTATTGGTCCAATAAATCCAGCTTCACACTCATATATTAGGTCAGCTGAGACACCTTACACTGAATAAGGAAGCTTGCTAAATACAAAGGCATCCCTAAATGAAAATTTAGAAAGGCATTTTGGAAGTTATGTACCGCTATAAAGTTTAAAACAGCTTACGGCAAGAAAAAAATAATAGTTAGTTATAAGTTGTACTGAGAAGCCAGCACTGTTTAAACTTGACATTCAAACACAGGATAGATGTAGCTCTGAAATCAACAGCACACTGTATGGATGGCAGTGATTCTGTGTGAAGATTGTATTCGTGTGGGTGTGTTCGGAGTGTTAGGTATTATTGTCCAGAGATGGCTTCTTCTTCATATCTTCGTTTATGTCAAGGGTGGAGAGGGAGGCTCAGGAAGGCTGTGTTTAATATGCTGGGGGCTGTTTTCATCACAGAAAAGGAGAAATATGGATATGTGAGTATGAGGTAACTGGGATTGGATCAGGCTGGTGAGTCAGGACCCGCCTCTGTCAGTGTTCATTCTCCTGGGGTATGAGAGACCCCTGCTACGGCATGACACTGAAACCTGTGTTTGCTGCCAGGTCACAGTCCTGTTTAGGGGAAGAAGGACTCGAGATGTTTCCAAACTAGATCATGGTTTGAAGGAAAGAAGACATCCATGAGATACACTGAAAAGGTTTTGACTTTCCACTGCAAGAGGTTGGCCCAGGGATGTTCTCTCTGGGGTGGTAATATTCACACCTTACAGGGCTTATGCTACAGCATACTGACTCGCCGCTTTGACTCGCTGCTGATTCATTGCACACGCAAGCTTCTCTGAAACATCCCAGGGCACCATGTTCAGAGAGTAGAATTCAGTGGGCCTGTGTGACCCCGCTCACTCTTCGCCCACTCCCAGAGCACCATCTGTGACTCCCAGGGGGATACCTGACTCCCAGTGCATAAAAAGTGACTTCCAGCAAGTGATCAGGCTTCCTGAACACAGCTGTTTCTGTGGCTAAGCATGGTTTACAGCCCAAAAATGAAAAACAATGTGACCTTCCATCTATTTCCCCAGGAATTTCTAGGTTATGTGGAGGAAAACGAGAGAAAAAAAGCTAAATCTCGACTTTCAATGACCATTAATCCAGTACTAGTTTCCTCCAGTGCGACAACTAACAAAAACACGTTCAGAGTGCAAATCCTGCAAAGCATAGCGTTGGTAATTCTTCTATTCATCCTCATTGTGGTCTCTCTGTTACACTGTCTTCCCTGAGCGGTGCTGAATCTTCAGAACAAAGTAATGCTAGTATTGTGCAGTTGAGTTAGAGAGCTGAGAAAAAAAAAAGTCCCAAATCCTGAGGTGCACAAGTAAACCCCCCGCCTTTCCCCAGTTGAGATGCAGGAAAAGGAATACACTGGTCCATACAGATCTTTTCGAACTTAAACTTCAGAAGAATGTCATCTTTAACAGACTTTTCTGCATTATCTGCCGGCTGCCAATAGGTTAGAAGATGAGTGTTTTTTAAATGGTTGTATTGCTATTTGAAATGGGAGTCATTATTGTCCTCTGAGGTGTGTAAGCAATTGCACAGTAAGGGGTTATGGAGAGCACTGTATAGTAGGCAGAGAGTTAGCAAGGAGACGACATCCGAAGAGCCTGAATGAGAGGCTAAGGCAGGCTGGAGGGGCTGGGGGCAGGGCTGGAGCCGTCGGAGCGGCTATAGTCACTGCGGGAGGTGGGCCGCAGGGTGGGGGCCTCGGGCTTCTTCAGCATGCCGGGCTGGAAGGCGGAATGGCGGCGGGCGTGCTTCATAAGGTGGTCACTGCGCATGAAGCGCTTCTCACACAGCGGGCAGCCAAAGCGCTTCTCGCCAGTGTGCGTGCGGTAGTGCCGCGCCAGCTCGTCCGAGCGGGCGAACTTCTTACTGCAGTCGGGCCAGGTGCAGGGGAAGGGCCTCTCTCCTGTGAGACATGGGGCGGGGGGACAAGGGGAGAGGTTGGAGGTCAGCCTTCATACGCTTTTGAGTAAGAATCAAAAGTGCCGTGTTACATCCTGGTGTTACGCACCGAAAGGTGAGGGGCGCTAGAAAAGCTGTGGCGAGACGGAGAGCAGAAATAACACAGGTAGCTGTCAGATATGGCATTAGACCGTTGTTTCCCAACCCACAGACTGTCCATGTTTTTGTCTGCATGTTCCTGAGGACTGGGTTAGGAAACACTGCATTAAAGCCAATGAGAGCCAACCACAATTCCAGTTAGCAAAATACAAACACTCATCTACTTACGAATGACGTACGTTCCGAACGGCCGTTCGTAACTTGAAATGTTCGTAAGTTGTTATTCAGCATCATTTGAAGGGTATACGCAAGTACAAAGAACTAGGATGCTGGGAGTACGCACGCTACGCTGCTGTGCAGCGGGAGTAGCAGCCAGAAGTCGTACCCAGCCCAATAAACACAATTTGGACTTACAGTCCTCTTCATTCGTATGTCTGAAAGTTCGTAAGTTGAAAGTTTATAAGTAGGGGAGTGTCTGTATGTATGTTTGCGCTGGAAATTCAAGTACCGACACAATAATGACCCAATTCCATTCATTTAGCAAAGTATGTATGTTTGGGGTGGAACAATGACACAAAGCACAGAGCAAACCCTGCAGATCATGTACAGACATACCCATAAAGAACCCGAACTGTGTCTGGTGCTGAAGATACATCTTCAATGTATTGACTCAAGGGGTTGATGCCCTTTGTAAATGAGATGAGACTTTCTATTTAGAAATATCATGAATGCGGCGAACTTCGACTGTGTTGAAAGCAGAAAAAGATTATTTCCATGTACTTTTTTTTTAATGTGAAAGAGTGTGGGGGCGGGGTGGCTGAGCCCTTTCTGGAGGTATTGTATGTGTAGTCATAACACACAGCCACACGAAGCCATGCGGAGGGGGGAGGAGTCGCCATGACAGGCTGCAAGCCGCCTGAAAGCTCTGCGCAGCAGCAAGGCCCCCCCCCCCCCTCAGCTTTACACTCTCATTTACACTCTTATCTCATAATGATCCCCTCCAAGTTCTTACAAACAAGTTGCAAAGGCAAATATTGGCCTGAAACAAACATTTGAAGTACAGCGGAATCTTAAATGTTTCCCGGAATGAGGAGCCCTGTTCCTTGATTGGGTTTGTATCAGCAGAGCTGTGCAGCCTCATGGGAACAATGTGGGTCAGGGGCTGTAACAGCACCACAGGAGTCTGGCTCTGTCTCACCAATTCATTCCCACCCCCCTACCCTGCCACGGTGCCCCTTCTCCACATGTTAGGGGTTCCTTCTGGGTCCCGATGTTCAGCTTGATGCCAGTACCCGCTGATAAGCCAGCCATTTTTGGACTGGTGCCAGGGCCTGGGCGCAGAAGCCCCCTTTCTCTGTTCAGGAGAGTAGGGGCATGACCCAGTAAACCCAGTGGCATGTTAAACTGGGCAGCAAACCCTGCCCGCCCTGGACCAATGGAACCATCAGATTATGTCACAGGTAGCAGGGTTATGTTAAATGGAACCAGGTGTTCGCTCATGAAATAGCTCAGCACACAAATATCCCAGCCACAGTTTTTCCACATTAAGGTTGCTTGCCAATGCCGTGAGACCTGCCCTGGAGCACACGAGTGAAAATTCAGCATCTCCAGCCCCTTCCTGCCTGAACAAGTCCAGGAGGCCCATCACCAGCATCACAGAGCAACATAAAAACTGAACATTCTTCTTGTTTCTTCAGCATTGCAGTGCAGCATGTAAATGATGTGGGTACTACAAGTAAATGATGTAGAGATGGTACATGTAAATGGTGTAGAGCATCATATATGTAAGTGGTGTGAAGGGAGGTACTTGTAAACAGTGTAGGAATTGCTACATGTAAATGGTGTAGGGAATCATACATGTAAATGATGTAGGGGTGGTACATGTTAACTGTGTAGAAGGTGGTACATGTATGCACTGTAGAGAGTCATACATGTAAATGATGTAGAGATGGTACATGTAAACTGTGTAGAAGGTGGTATATGTATGCACTGTAGAGAGCCATACATGTAAATGATGTAGAGATGGTACATGTAAACTGTGTAGAAGGTGGTACATGTATGCACTGTAGAGAGCCATACATGTAAATGGTGTATGGGGTGGTACATGTGAAAAGTGTAGGAAGTCATACAAATAAATGGTGTAGGGGTAGTACATGTAAATGGTGTAGGGGTGGTACATATAAACAGTGTAGGGGGTGGTACATGTAAATGGTGCAGGGAGTGGAACATGTGAAAAGTGTGGGGAGTCACACATAAATGGTGTAGGGGTGGTACATGTGAAAAGTGTAGGGAGTGGTACATGATGCTGCATGTGAAGCCACGGATCTCTCCAGCAAGTCTGAGAAAAAGACACAGAAGTGGGTGCCGGGAATCACTAGAGCGTGGGCTGTACTGCAGCATAAAACCACAGAAGAAGCAGAAGTACAAAAAACAAATCAATCTCCAAATCTTTTTTACAGCTTGCAATGGCATACTATGATATCCGTACATGGTCTGCGGCTAGATCAATCTCACCCTGAACCCAAATATAAAAACATTAATGAACTCTGTTAGGATATACATTCCTTCATTCATTGTCTTAGAACTGCTTATCCAGTACCGAGTCACAACAGCTGGGCGTGTTTCACAGGAAGCACAGGACATGAGACAGGGGGTGATGGATGGGATGCAAGTCACAGCATAATTTAGAGACAGCAAACCAGATGAATCTTTGGACAATGGGACCCCAACTGCAGATTCTGGAAAACAGCCACACAGACATGTAGAGATCATGTATCCACAGACATGCAGTGAACATGCATCCACAGACATGCAGAGAATATGCATCCACACAGACATGTGCAGAACATGTATCCACACAGACATGCAGTGAACATGCATCCACACAGACATGCAGAGAACCCCACACAAGAGTAGGAACTAGACCACCCAGAATACACTCTGTATGTATTAAAAATGTAGCTTATCTCTATCATTGAATGGAGTTCCAGAGGAAAAATAGGGTTAGAACAAATATTTGTCATTGCATTTCCAGGGGGAATTATTGAGTAAAGTTCTCTAAAAGAACTTAAAATAATTGGTGTATACTAATCAAATGCAATTACAGCAGAATTGTAACTGTAAAACATATCATGTTTGTTTTATATAAGTGTTTGGCAACAAGTGAAGTATTAAGATAGTTCTCTATGGCCTGTAAAGAAGAGCAGGAACAGTCTTTGGGTTGTGGAGCAGTGAGACTTTCCATTACAGATCAGATATACTGAACTGCAGGAGGCGTTTCAGATCCAGTGTCGGAATAAACAATGTGCCCAGCGAACAGACTGGGCTGCGGCTTTCCTGCAAACTTGTTCCCTGCTGGATCTTGCTGAAAGTATTAAAGGCTTATCTCACTAAGGTTACTTCTGGGAAATGTATGTTATAATACTTTGCAGTGGAGTTTGTTATGACTATGGAACTACTGAAAACGATATAAAATTTAAGAAGTCCCCACATTCTTTGTTTTAACACTCACTACTTTTCCCCCCGGCTTCACAGCTGCTGAGTACACTTCCCTGTGATTTGTAATAACCAGCACTTGGATCTTAATGTGACTGCAAGACCCTTTTTTTTATAGTGTTCATTGATCACTGTGTAAACTAGAATTTCAGCTACACAAATCGACAAAGCGGAAAAGAATTGCAACTTCGGGACTATTTTCAGTCCAATTTTTGTGTATAATCCTGGAATATTATATTATATTGTTTGCAATGCATGCAATGAACTATAACCAAGATATTTAGCATGATGCTGCTTATCATTAAAATTAGTGGAAGATGCTGTACAGGCATCCCATCCAGGGTATACCTCGGTCTCGTGCCTTGTGTTGCCTGTGATAGGTGCTCCAGGCCCCCACAACCATGGCCAGCATAAGTGGATGGATGGATGGATGGATGGATGGACAAGCTAGAGATCAATGGCTCTCTCTCTGATCACCAACTGAAGTAGTAATATGGTAATAGGTCCATTTATTCATACAGTACGAACATTAAGCTGAAACAAATGTCTCCAGTTGTCCCTGATGATGGATGGGGGGATGGGGAGGTTGTGAAAGGGTCGAGGAACATGCCGAACTCACAGTGCTGTAGACCCCTTCCTCCCAAGGGCCTGTTCCTCCAAACACCTGCTCCTGTCAGACCATCACATTGCCCGAACAGAAACAAATTCCACCAGCAAAGGATCATTCTTCACATGCTCAGCAGAGAAACCAGGAGAATTACATCTTTATTTATTGTCTCTAGGTTCCTAAAATCCAGCCGGTGCCCTCCTATGTATTACCAACACTACATGTGCACCAATTACAGTGTTTTGTAGTTCAGTGTTTGTTAAAATTCTTGAATTCTTTTTGATTGGTGTTTAGTTTGTTCTCAAACCACTGAAAAATCGAGCTTAGTCTTGATTCATTTGCACCCATTTGTTTAGTCTTGTGTATGTTCTGTTTTTAAAATATATACAATATAAGGGTTTGATTAATACATTTTTCTCTCCCTTGTTGGTTTTTGCTTAGTGGCCAACCCCCTTCATCTGACCATTCAAGGTGTGCATTGTATGTTTGTGTTACATTTACTGTCTTAGTGAGCAAAATGGGTTTTATAAACATACTGCAGAAAAGAACAAACTTTAGCAAAAAAGTCAAATATTTATGCATTTGATAATAAAAGTGAGAATCTCATACATCTAACACAGAAAAATAAAGATAATTTAGGAGACTAGCCAACCAGAGCTTCAGTTCTAAAAAACAAAAATAGTTTACTAGACAATTAGGACAATAATCAAAAGAATGTGAAACAGAAATGAGAGAGAGAGAGAGAGAGAGAGAGACTGTCTTCCTGAACTTACTGCTAAGAGTTGAAAAAAAAACTGCCCATT